AATAGGCACTAAAGTCCCCATTTTAGAGACAAGAAAGGGCAGAGAAAGAGGCAGTAACTTGCTCAAGGTCTCAAGGTCACATGGCTAACATGTATCAGAGGCAGTCTGGCCCTTACCTGCTAACTGCCTCTGTGATATTCATTTGTGCTGTTCAACCAACACTGTTGGTTCTCCTCCCCCCAAAACAAGATACATGAGTATGATTATGCCTCCTAGTATCATCACTGGTGGGGGCACATGACTACCTCTGACCAATGAGTTGTGAATGAAACTGGCACATCCCTTCTGGGCCAGAGCATATAACTGCAGAAACAAGACCCTCCAGGGCTCTCTTGCTCTCTGCACGGTGACCAGCAATGTATGAAATGGTGGCTATTCTGTCAGCCAGGGATCTTACGTAACTATGCCCATCACTGACCTAACCTGAGTTGGTTTTTTATTGTTGCTATAAACACACAGGTCAGAAGTCTGCCATGAGTAAAACCAGGCGTCAGCAGGGCTGCATTCCTTTCTGGAGGCTCTAGGGGAGAATTAAATGTCCTTGCCTTTTCCAGCTTCGAAAGGCTGCTGGCATTCCTTGGCTTGTGGCCCCCTCTACCATCTTCAAAGCCAGCAACAGTAGATGGGGCCCTTCTCACATTACATTACTCTGAACTCTAACTTCTACCTCTATCTTCCACTTTTAAGAGCCTCTGTGATGACACTGGACCACCCAGATAATCCAGAATAATTGTCCTAAGGTCTGCTGGTTTAGCAACCTTAATTCCATCAGCAACTGATGCCCCTTGGCCATGTAACCTAATATATTCACAGGTTCTAGTATGTGACAACTTTTTGTGGGGAGTAGGGAGGTTGTACTCTTCTGCCTACCACAGTACTTTATACCAATCACATCAGCCCTTCTGGGGTGAGGCCCAAGCATCAACACTGTTTATAGGTCCCCAGATAATTTCCATGTACTGACAAGTTTGAGAACCAGTGGCCTATGTTGAATATGTGGAGAGAATATACTTAGTCCTCTACTTTCATATTGCCTCTCATGTTCGCATGACAGATACAAACCCCACACATGCACAGAAGAACATCACACAGTTACATACCCACGCATCTGCCATGCTAGTGGCAGTCGGAGACTCTGTTCATCACATTTTAACTCCATCCTTTTCGCTTCCTCCCCGCCTCCCAGTCCTCATCTTCCTTCTGGCCCCGGATGCGTGCATGTGCACACAGACAAACATGAGGAATTTTCCCATTCGTTGCCAAAATAAGCTGTTTTCCCGGTGGTGGCCTCCCAGAGAGACCGAGTTGTGCCGGTGGTTTTCCAACATGCACATTTGCTCCTCAGAAATGGGGCAGAGTCAGCCATTTTCTTTCATAGGAACCAAGAGGCTCTGAGGATAAAAATTACATCCCCGCTCGGACTATAATCAGCCTCTACTGCTCGTGTATCTGTAGGTGTTGAGAACAGGGCTGCGGCCCTCGCTGGACTGTTACTGTGATCTGAGTGTGCACTGAGGAATCTGGACAGTGGAGAAGGACACCACTTTGGTTGTAAATATCTCTATTTGATTGACTGACCTACTGAATTATTCTCTTGGTTTTCATTCATGAGAGAAACAATAGGCTCAGATAAAGGCCAACCAGGCCATTTTGGAACCAAGTATCAAAACCTTACTAGCAAAACACATTGTACTTAGAACATAACCACAAAGCTGAAGGGTCAAATGACCATCAATTCAGAAACTCAGTTTCCAATCTCCTCATATAGATTTAAAAGGGCCTGACCAGCACCAGGGATTATCCTGTTCATGTGTCAGTGACCGAGCCAAAGGAGGACCAGGGTGAGCAGTTTAGTGGCAATGCCAGTGAGGGGAGAACTCAGTGTGCCTGGACCTGGGCTGGTCGCTGGTGAAGGTGCGGTCAGCAGGAGAGAGCAGCGGAGGCCAAACCAAGGTCACCTCATGCATCAGAGTTTAGTGCTTCTGTTCGAGGTGAACTGCACGGGAGGCTGGGCACAGAGGGCTCCGTCCGACTCCCAGACACCGTTCATAAGGAAGAACTGTGGTGCTGCTTTACTAGGGACATCCTTCAAGTTCACGCTCAAGAGCACAGGGCGTTTTGAAAGGAACACAAACAAGAAAATGAACGGGACTGAGCTGACTGAAGTAGGCGTTGCTGAGACCTAATTCTGGCATTGGCCCAACCTTCAAGCAGGGGTGGGGAACGTCCGGCCCTCGGGCTGTATAAGGCCTGAGAAATCACTTGGCTGGCCCTGCCAAACCATTAGGAGTGAGTTAATTAAATGTCTGACCAAATACAGCAGCTAATGTTTAAGTTGATAATGTTGTATGGCCCGAGAATGATGTTATAAATATCCACATGGCCCTAGGCAGAAGAAAGGCTCCCACTGAAGTCAGCACCACGAAGAGCCAGAGAGGCACCGCTCTGGTGGGTAAACAGCTGGTTCAGCCGTCTCTGCCAGTGTGTGCCAGTCCCCATCATTCCTCTCAATGTTCAAATATCCCACATTGGCCAATCCTCTTTATGTCTCTCTGTCAACCTTTGCGCCTTTCCCTTCCTGAAAGAAACCAAGGTGATAAGGAAGGCTACTGTCTCAAGAGCATCAATACTGGGACTGAGGGGACCAGCGTGTCCTTTGGAAGAAGCACGAAATAACTACTATGCTCCCTGAAGGACACAAAATGCTCAGAGATCGCCTATGCTTACCAGTGAACTGCCATGATGAAGGCATGCTAGAGCCCATCGGCGGAATTTTCATGTCGCAAGGTAGGGAACGTGGTAGGCTGAACAATATAGACCCGCATCCTGATCCCTGGAATCTGTGAATGTTACCTTATGGCAAAGGGACTTTGCAGGTGTGTTAATAAGTTAAGGATAAAAAAGGGGAAGGGATTAAGATATAAAATTACCAGCTATAAAAATAGTCACGGGAATGTAAAGTACAACATAGGGAATATAGTCAATAATATTGTAGTAACTGTGTATGGCATCAGATGGGTGCTAGACTTACAGAGTGATCCCTTCGTAAGCTATATAAATAACTAATCCCTTTTTGACCTCCTGAAACCAATAGACTATTGTATGTCAACTATAATTGAAAAAAATAATTATAAATAAATTAATTAACGATATGAGATGCAGAGATTATTCTAACACGCAGCAAAGTACAAAAACTACTGAACTAGAGAAAAGACTAGATAAGGACATGCTGGCGTGGTTGCTTATGTGGGAAAAATGTATGGGAAGTCAGCAAGTCACCTCGCCCAAGAAGGAACCATCAATCCTTAACCATCTACCCACAGATGACTACACAGTGGCCTATCTAAGCACGTCATAGGATAGCACGCTTCCCCAGTGTGGTGTCCCTTCCAGTCTGACCCACTGCATATGCTACATTTCCTTGGGACAAAGAACAATTACACATATGACAGGCAGACTTCCTACAGAGCTAACTTTCGTACCAATACCGCCTTTCACGGAAGGAACGGGCCAGGGACTACATCATATGCAAACACATGAATCAGCACATTCACATGACCACTATCAGAAAAGGACTACACTGTCTTCCTCTCTGGGCTTAAACTACGAAAAACCACTATTAGGACTGTACAGATGGAGAGCTTTTCATTTGCTTTAGTCATCTATTTACTTACGATAGGTTATAGATGGAAATTGTTTATATATTATTTATTTGAGAACAAATTAACTCATTCTTCACAGAGATCCAGAAAAGTACTACTTGTACAATTTTGACAGGGACAGCCCTCCCTCCAGAGCGAGCGTCTGCCTGCTCCTGGGGCTTCCTCATACATGATACGTTTACTAAACAGCCATTCCATCATGAGCCTCCATAGTACTATCACCAACAGCCAAAACGCACAACCTCTTACTTCTTACTTTTCTCTCCCTACTTTGTCTTCCCCAGAGAGGAAGCTAGTGAAGTAGAAGAGGCAGTCACATGAGAACCAGAAGACCTGTTTGGAATTTCAGTCCCATCCTGTATAAATGATGCCATGTTAGGAGTCCCTCAGCCACTCTGAGCTCTGTCTCTAACAAACTGATACCATTGCCTTCACAGTGTTGATGAAATAAAACAATACAGATGAAAGTGCTCGGCACATAGGAAGAACTTCATGAGGCTCAGCTTTCACACATCACCCCATGCTGAAGCCTCTCACGTCTCGTCTTCCGTCGTCCTCTCATGAGCTCTGGCCCTGTATCTCCCACCGTCTCCTCAATGCCCCGGCTCGGATCTCTTACTGGCATCTCCAACTGGACATGTCTAAACTGGATTTATCATCTGCACTCACAACCATGACCCTCCAACTGCCCTGACGGTGTCCATCAGTTAAAGTGCCATCGGTCCCCCGCCCCATCCTTTCCTCTCCATTCCCACTGCTCAACTCTCACTCAGGCTCAGAGCCTCGCAGCTCACACCTCAAGCGCCGGAGCCTGTCAGGTTAAAGCCCTGTCGCTTCCAAGCCAGCCTGCTTGTGGACTGCAGATGAGTCTCTCTTCAAACAGACTCACCACATCGAGCCCTGAATAAAGATCCTCAAGCACTTTCTTGCCCTGCAGCTGGCATCTGTGAAGAAGGAGGAGCCAGCTCCACTGGGCATGCAGAGGACAGTGTGCCTGTCCCTGCAGCTCCCCCATGCCTCCCATCAGCGTGCCAGGCACTGAGCAACTTCACTACATGATGCACGAAGGAAAGCTCTCAGAATAGATGGATCGTAAAACAAAGTATTTTTAAAAGCAGTTCCAGAGAACTGGAAATTTTTTATCAAACTTCTTTACACAGTATTTAGTAACTACAATCAAAATCTGCCACAAACCATCCTCAATTGCATTAAATATAATAATCCATTGATAGTAAACCACGTTACAAGTTTTATAATATTACAATCATTTAACAAATATCCAAGCCTTCAGTACTTATACTAAATAGCAAAGGTGGTCAGTCTCAGAGATGTTCTTACCATTTTGTTCCTCCAGTTCATTCCCAATCTCCTGCCCCATTTGTTTTTGGCGACTTATGATAGAAGAAAGGGCATCGAGGCCTGCATCCTGTTCTGAAAGAAAAAGTAAAACAATTAAATAACAACCAAAGGAAACCATTTGAAGTCCAGAAATATACCCAGGCATATCACACAACTCAATATATGATAAAAGTAACATTTTAAATCACTAGGAAAAGGAGAGAGAAAACCGTTAACACTATTGGAACAAAATGAAAGAAAAAAAATAAGTACCTACCTCATACCTTAAACGAAAATGATTTCCAGATGAATTAAAATTTTAAATATTAAAAATGAGCATGAAATTTGACTACATAAACATTTAAACTTTTCAATATTTAATACATAATAAGCATGTGCAAATCAATAAGAATTAATCTTCCAAGTTTTAAAATGGGAAAAGGATATAGACAAGAAATGAAAATGAAAAAGAATGCGAATACCCAGGGTTAACGAAGTGTGAAGAACTAGAAGCTCCTACGTACGGCCTCATGGGAGGACAGCTCACAAACCTTTCTGGAGAGCAAATCATGCCTACCTTTTTATCGGCCAGCTCTACGTCTACAAATGTATGTAAGAAAGCGTCCGACGGCATGCAAGATGTACATCCCATGACATTCCTTGACACATCGCTTCCTGTGCTAGTTATCAATATATTACCTCTCAGCTCCAAATTGACCCCCTTTTGACCGCTCTGTGAAAATGGACCTGGGTCCTTTAAATATTTTTCCCTTTGCCATCTTTGTCAGTAGAGGGGACACAGAGACATCAGAGGAGGGAAGGTTTGCTTCCTGCCTCCACCCCGCTCTCTCGCCGGGCTCCCGCAGCCTTCCAGCTTCTCCAGTGTCCTCCAGCGCACAGAGGCCAGCAGCACCCCAAGGTCAGCAGGGCACCCCTCCGTGGGCAGTTCCATAACAGAGTGCCTCCACTTAGACACTTCACCGGGAATAAAATCCCTAGCATCTTAGAGGGCAGATTCTAGCAGATTGTCTGGCTGCAAACCACAGGGACTTCTCTGAAATCGTTCCTCTAATGTCCTGTTATAGTTAATAATTCTGTATAGTAAACTTTCAACCCTCTTTCTCCTAATTGGACCCACACTGATACATTTATAATAGTGAAAAACTGGAAACTATCCAAATGCCCAAACACAATGATTTGTTTAAAAATGTATATATAGCCATGTAATAAAATACTACAGAGCCATTAAAAGTGATATGGTCCATGGATATTCTGATGTTGAAAGAAATCCCTGATATGTTATTAAGTGTAAAAATGCAGGACACAAAACAATAAATAGTAAAAATAGCATTTTTGTGTTTTTAAATGTACTGCTTTTCTAGATTGTGAAAATTTAAAGAAAAAAGAACTCCAAGTACTTTCTTTAAAATTTTATATTGGTTTGTTCTTTGCAGTCTCAGTAATCTCTTTGTAAGAACCATTTTCTTTGCTTTCAGGTGCATTTGGAAGAACATTCTGGGGCTGAATCTAAGGACTCTTTCTACCCAGGCAACATGCCAGATGAGGTAACATGCCAATTGTGGCTTCATTTGTTGACGGGGTTCTTTTCATGACTAGTTCACATGAAGGCATATCTTCAAAAGCTGAAATCACAACCGTCTTCTTATGCAAGATCACATTAACATTGACTTGTATTTTTTCCTAGTCTTTTTATGGAATTAAGCCATTGCGCTTAACTCATTAATTCATCTGGAATTTATTTAAACTAATGGTGTGAGGTAAGGACCCCTCAGTGACATTTTTTGACACTACGTATTTTTCAAACTATACAAATGACCTGCTTTCTCCAGGGATCATTCTAAGGGACCATTTTATAGCAAAATCTCTTTATAATGAGGTCCTTTGGTCTTTAGTAACAACCTCTTGGATGGCCTCCAAGATAAATCTATCATCAACCTAGTGCTGCTATAGGATGACCAATATTATAGCAAAATTCCAAATGCATCCCAAAAAGAATCTACATATAGGACTGAGGGTCGAGAATCAACATGAATTAAAAGGTAAAACAATTTAAAAAGAGGAAAGACGTTTCCTCTACAGTTTTCAATTAGAAAAAGAATCATTAAAGTTATGAAGTTGCTTTATCTAGTAAAGACATAGATTATGAATGAAAAATAACTACTCTGCACTCTTTTCTTTCAACCTTGACTCGTGATATGGTTTAACTACCTAAAGGGTCTCTTCCTAATGCAAAACAGAAAGAGGGCTAAACATTCTGCTCCACTGAAATCATTTCTGTAAGAACTGAGCACCTCCCCACTATGGTTAAGAGAATAACATTTTCATTCCAGAATTCAAAGACACAGGCAGTCCAGGGACCTGAGACACTGCATATGTGATGATGATATTGATGACCTAAGCTTCTCCAGATCCTAAAGCAGCAATTCCAATGGGAGGTGCTACGGTCATCTTAGAGACAATGAACCAAGTAAAATACTTCTGCTTACAAAAATATAAACAGACAGTCATGCAGCACCATGCAAAACTATGATGTCATACTGAGTAGCTCATTACTGTCATCTGCCCTACCCTATCACATATCCCAAGTCATTCCATCACAATCGATCATTTGCAACATACAACAGTCTATTAATCATTCTTCGATTTCATAATGATGTTAATTTTTTAAAACTGGGTAACCACTGTGATACGTAGAATAATGTGCCCCCTAAAGATTTCCATTTCCTAATCCCTGGAACCTGGGAATATATGAGCTTACTTGGCAAAAGGGACTTGCAGTTGTGATTAAGATTAAGGCACTGGAAATGGGAGATTATTCAGATTGTCCAGGTGGACCCAGTGTAATCATAAGTCCTTAAGACAGAAACCTCTTCTAGCTGCAGTCCCAGGGAGACATGAAGAAGGATCTGAGAGATGCAACTACTGGCTTTGAAGACTGAAGCAGGGGACGTCGAGACGGGTTGGCGGCTTCTAGCAGCTGGAAAAGGCAAGGAGATGCGCTCTCCTCGGGAGCCTCCATCAAGGAAGCCAACACCTCTGCCCCAGCCCAGAGACCCACAGTGAACTTCCGACCTACGGGACTGTAAAATAATAAGTTTGAATTTTAAGTCACCAAATTTGTACTAATTTATAATGACAGACTAGAAAATGAATACAATCATTTTTTTTAAATCCCTTTGGAATAATTAGGTGTTTGGAGATTTTCTATCTTTAGATATTCAGAAAAGCCATCTTCTAACTAAATATCATGTAATTGTGGGAGGACTATCTGGTGGCTGCAGATTAAAAATAAAGAGTCATCATACTGTACTCTTACCAAAAATAACAAACTTGATTCTGATCAAGCCATTAAATCTAACTACCAATTTACAGAAAATATGCGGGACAGAGGAATATTTTAATATATGGGCATACAAATAGCAAGATCTAGATGATGGGAAACTACACGGCAAATGACCCTGTTTCTTCGACCAAGAAAATGCAAAGAAAAAAAGAGAGAGAGCTGGCAAAGGAACCTATCTATTAAAGGAACCGAAGGGACATCAATTAGTTGCAATATACAGACTATATTCAGATCATGAATCGAACAACCTAAAAATAACAAAACCCAACATCATGGGACAATCAAGGAAATCTGAACACTCGATGTTTGATTATACTATGGAATTATGATGAACTTGCTAAGGGTGATAATGGCGTTGTAATTATATTTTAACAGTCCTTCTCTGTTTAAAACATACTTTAGAGACATATTCTGGAATAGTCACCCATGAAATAATAAAATAAATACCTGAGATTTGCTTCAAAAATAATCCACGGAATAGGTAGTTGGGTAGACATATGGATGAAACACAATGGACTATGAATTGATAATTGCCGAGACAACTGACGGGTAGACTGGAATCATTATCTTACTCTCTCTACTTGTATATGTTTGAAATTTCCCACAGCAAAAAATTATCAACTTTTTAACAAGTAAATAAAACAGAGTGAGAGTTCTAAGAGCTGCAGCCTCAGGCCCCTGACTAAGCACATGACAAGGGCCCCTAGGGCCGGGCTGTGTCTTCTTTTCCTATGTCTTTGCCCCAGTTCAGAGCCCAACTGGTGGCCCAGCGCAAGTGCTTAATAAATGATGTTAAATCAAGAATAACCAAAGAGACCTCTAGGTCTGTAGAAGAAAGAAATTTAGTCTCTACTAGGCATACGAAAGGGCTTCTGGTCAATACAAGACAGCCTTCTAAGTTCAGGTAGTAGAAAAGTCGTTGAGGTTTACTGCCCAGTGTCCAGAGAGAAGCAAAGGAAATTCTCACATTTTACATATAGAGTGAGCTCTCCCTGAGTAAGGAGAAGTAAGGAACAAATGAGGAAAAGATTAGGTCAAGCTGCATAAAGCTAATCATTTTCCCAGCATTGGAAAGACTCTTAGATCAAGATCTAAGAACAGATGATTTTATTGTGAGATTTTAGTGAAAGATCCCTGGTCTAGGTGATAGTTACAAGAAAAAAAAGTTGTCTGTGAAGTACGGATTGCAAGGGTTTAAAGATAAGCTACTAAGACTTGCTGAAATCTGACTAGCCACCTTCCCACCACTGTTTTACATAAAAATATTTAGAGGCCTAAGAACACAGAAATCTAAAAAAACATGCGGCTTTCTGCTAGAATCCAGAAAGGACACCTATAAAATAACAGTTAAGAAACCCCATCAACAAAGACCTCCTGAGTGAAGGTAGAACAATACCTCATACCTTCTCCAAGGTCTGCCGTCGACTCAGAGACAGGGGTCTGTATTAATCACAACGTTACCTTCCCTTGTTCTATCTCGGGAATTTTTGAGGTGATCTAGATGCTGTCATCACCTCCTCCATCTCATGCTTAATGTCCATTTGTGCCTCAAATTACAGGGGTGACTAACACAGAAGCCAAGACCGGCTGACTGGCTGTAACAAGGCCTAGCTTCTAGCTTAGGCAAGGGAAGGCATTCGCTGCCGAGTCCAAGGTCTGCCAACAAACTGTTATTTTAGGATGATTTTCAGAGTGTTTCTAAGGGTCAACTAAAGTACAGAAAGGCTAA